GAATCTGTACATTCAGTACCTCCAGGATTAAAGCTCTAGGAATCCTGTTTTCATTATTTTTTTTGACCACTCAATGCTTCTTACTGGATGGGTGAATGGGATTTTGGCTAGACAATGTTTGCACTGTCCCTACATTTCCTTGCAGGTGTCGTGGATCACGTGGTTTTGTGGCCTGAGGGGAAACGAGTTCTTTTGCGAGGTGAGTATTTTTTGAACCAATTTGCCTGACTCCAACGCAATGCAGACCGCATGACCTACGGGCGCAGTCACATTTTTCTCTACTAACTCTCACATGATTCATTTTGCATTGCGTTGATATTCTGTTGTTGACAAACACGTTTTTGGACGACAAACAAACCGTATGAAATAGGAAAGATAAGTGAAATTGTTGGCATGAGAAATCAGGTTGGGTAGTGCGCGGGACTGCCAGCAGTACCGTAGTCCTGATTGTTAGAATACCGGTATTAAATATAACGTTCGCTTTTCCATCTTAGCATTAGAGGGGGATGAGGATGTGGGTCTATACGTGTTAATTGTTTGCTTTTCGTGTGAAGCTATGCTTAAGAGGAACTAACCTATTGTTTTTAGACGCTCTCCCCCTCCACCCCTTCAAATTGCTTGAATATATTTCATTTGGCGCAGTTCGGCTTGGTGAAGGCACCAAATCGCGCTGAGCGAAATTTGTTTTAGGCCACCTTGTGATGATCTGTAAGTTCCTGTAAGTAAAGCTCCGCGTACCATTTCTCAGCTTCTCAAGAGTTTGCAGGTCTTACTGAAGCGGTCTTGTCAGTTAATGTGAAGTAGCAGAAGGAACTAGTGAACCTACAAAATTTCCCTTTCCGTCCCCACCACTGGCCGAACGGTGCCTTCTGTTCTATTATATATTGAATGTTCACTGAAAATTCCATGAAATCACAAAAATTTGCATTAATAGTTTATAGGTGGATGAGGAGTATATACAAGATCGTTTCAACCTTACTGGTCTCAACGAGCAAGTGCCCAAGTATCGCCAAGCCCTTGATATGATTCTAGACTTGGAACCAGGTAGGAGTTACTTGTTCCGTTTCATTTTAATATGGCAGTTTTCAAAAGCGATTTTTAAGAAGATGACATGGATGATAATCCAACCAACACTGACCTAGTTGAACAAGCAGCTGAGATGCTGTACGGGTTGATTCACGCCAGATATATTTTGACCAACAGAGGAATCGGGCAGGTATTGACTGTTTCTCGTCTTGTCCGATATTTAGGCTTGATACCTCCCAATAGCCTTCATCCTGCTTGTTTCAGATGGTAGAGAAATGGCGTGATCATGACTTTGGCGTCTGCCCACGAGTATATTGCGAGAATCAGGCTATGCTTCCTATTGGTAGGTTTAACGTGCAGATTTATCAGTTCTTGTTGATTTTTTACGGCGATCATGATCATTATGACTGAAAGTTCCGGATCTATGGTGCAGCTACGTTTGCCGGGAATTTTGGCAGGATAAAGCACTCTCCGCGGTCATCTGCTCGCAAAATTCCCTCCTTTGTACGGTATTATCCGATGCGGGTAGAACGGCGTGTCAGGCGGGATAGCTTCGGTGACGTCGGACCTATCCCATTTTAGGCAAACACTCTTCCACCAGTTGCTGAAGCGAGCAAGCAACAAAAGATGTATTATAACGTTCGCATCAGTCGTTTTCCATCAACTGCTGTCACTTACCACCTGGTGCAGTGTAGCCATGGATTGACGGATTTCTTTTGAAGTCTTGAACCTCTGTTGGTTTGGTTACCCGACTGACAAACATGGGCTAAGGTAGCCAGGGCACGCCATCGTTGTGATGATCACAACGGGAGGTCGTATTTGACCGCGAGGGAAGGGGATCGTATTTGTGTCGAGAAAAAAATTTTTTGATGGCTGATTTCTCTTGTTACACGGACGCTATAAAGGAGGGGAGGGGGACTGCCAAATATCCATACAACTACTATTTCTGACAGTTGAAAATGATAATTGAATCCTTGCGACTTCCTCCCCCCTCCCTCGGCAGAATTTTGGAGAAAAAACCAGATATTTTTCGGGAAATTTCGGAGAAACCTGACCCTGGTTGATGAAATTATTCCTGTTTCACCTGCTATGTATCACTTCACTCCTCAGACGCCGGAAATTCTTGTCCTGAAAAACTAGCGAATTTCACGCGGCTAAAATGGAAAAAAAAAAGGTGGGAAGTTGGGAAAATCTAAGAAAGTGGTAGGTAGCAGGGGAAGGGGGTGTATTTGAGGATGGGATTGGTGGGGGTCGTATTTTTCAGGAAATGATCGCAACGCCATGGCGTGCCCTGGTGGTAGCGCTGATATGCGAACTCGATACGCGACCTGACTCACTTCACGAAGTAAGAGTATGTTTCAGGACTTTCGGATGTTCCTGGTGAAGCTATGGTGAAACTATATTGCCCACGGTGTTGCGATGTGTACGTTTACTTGAACTGTTCAGCTTTTTTCATTTACCTAGTTGCGAACACTGTCGTTATTTATTGATGAAAAAATAACGTAGAAGGATTACAGGTTCATTCCGCGGTCTTCACGTCATTTACACACGGATGGAAGTTTATTTTGGCACTTGGGCGGTTATCCGCATATTTGTTCTTTGTGCATCCTGAGCTTCGTCCTCGCAAACCAGCCACGCAGTTCATACCCAGGTAGAGTTCTTTTTTTAGGATTGTTCCTATTACGGAGAATATTTGAGGCGGAGCTCACACCGAAAGGGGGTCATACTACCATCACCGTTTTAACTGTACGGCACGCTTGAAGCTTTTTGAACGACCTGAAAAGCATGAGATTCGTTATAAGCTGAGCGCACACCACAATTTTCAGCACTGGGAATGTATACATATTGACCGAGCGTTTTGAATGAATGCCTGTACGACAGCGTTTTCAGCGACCAGGAAAGAGTAGATATCGATCTAGCATCTTGAGCTTACGCGCAAATTCTAAGACATGCCTGGAAGACTGTCGTCGCGCTCCACCTATACGTAGACGTCCTCCTTGTTCAACTAATCTATCCCGTACCTCGGTGAGACCTGTCCCGTCCTATTTTTCCCGCCCACCGAAACTAGATTCTTTCCTCAATCTTAAGTTCAGCTTTCAACACCGTTTTTTTTCGTCTGGTCATGAGCATTTAGTTTAGACGCGGTAGAACGATTATGAAGCCAACGCAGGGCAGCATTTCCATCTTCGCTGGCCATAATACGAGCAGCGTCCGACAACTCGTACAGTGCGCCGTGATTCTAGCCAGCCCGTACGTTGTGTGTTCTAAAACTTCCTATTTTTTCTCTTGCGATAGTCAGCTTACGTCACCCTCGATCACAGGCTGACGACAGTATCCTGGGACTACTGTTCTTCTTAGATATATACGGGCTTCAAAATCCATCTGCTGCGTACAACTCAGTACGCAGCACGCGCACCACAGGTACACAGATTATTGAAAATTGGATCTAGTTCCTTTCTCTCTCCCTACAGTATCAATTACGAGAGTTATCTGGCGCTCATATAACAATAACAGTTTACTTTTTGATTATTTCTTTTTTCCTACACTCCAGCGATATTTTTTCAGCAGGCAAACAATGGTCCACCTGTCGAAAAAGGTGGTTTCGAGCAATTTGCCAATGCGTACGGGCTGTGAGAGCATATGATTTGTTTTCACTAATCGTTGCAGAAATATATTATTTCCATTTTTGGTGTCGTTTTATACCCATTTCTTTTATATTTGCACATTATTGAAAAGTAGCTGAGGTATTCAGTTTTATATAAGCGACACAGCAAATGATGATGTCAAATTTTGAATTGTTTGATGTTCATGATTTTCCGATGTGTGATCCTTTTACGAAAAACAGTAATCGAGTATTGGCAGTATCTGATTCTGAAATTTTTACTAGTTTACATGACGGTCGTTTTTGTTTTTCACGGAAATGAAATATTTGTTTGCCCGTGAAACGAGCAGGCTTTTGATTCTACATAAAGATTGTCACTGAGCTTCCTTTCTTTGAGATGTTGGCTCAGACAACGAGCTTAACTTGGGAGGAACATAGGGCAGCGTCTAAACCTCGTTTTCAAGCCTACATTGACGCTTACCACCGCGCCTCTCCGCTCCCAGCTGAGCCCTCTTATGTTTCTGTTATGCGGCTTTGCTCATTTGATTGCGAAAGCGGTATTAAATGGGCTTCTGTAATGGCTCTGTGTGGGTCTGAGATTGAAATGGACCAAGTAGGGGCTTCCGTGTGATTGTCGCCCACCAGGCTTCACTAGGCCTTGGAGCCTTGGTACATCAATGACTGGGCTAATGCCGTTTGGACTCCAACAACTTCGGCACCGAGCTCATTTTCAAATTGCCTAAGTTACCAAATCCACTAAAAACTTGTAATTAATTAAGGGGGTAATTTAAACAGTCCTGATTACGAGTATGACACTCATTTTTGGCGCTGGCGCCAAGAGAGGACACTACGACTACCTCCTGGGCTCGGCCTTATCAGAGCGCAGATAACCGTAGTGTCATCCATTAGCGCCAGCGCCAAAAATGAATGTCATTTAGAAGACCAAAGAAAAACAAACATGGGAAAGTAATACACTCCAAAAATGAAGATGTCATATTCGTGATCAGGATGTTGAATTACCCCTATATACAAGTTTTTAGCGAATTTGGTGATCTTGCCACTTTTAAAATGAGCTCGGTGCCGAAGTTGTTGGAGTCCAAACGGCATAGCCCAATGACTGGGTTACTATCCTGATCAGCGTACTTCAACTTTCAAAAACGTTTGACTATTCGCAAAGCAGCCTCAAAATCCTGTAAAAGGAGCTCAGTTTTATTTGGCCAGAACCGTGGTATGGTTGCGGAGCACTGGCGGGTGATCACCTCCTGTTATCCTGACATTTCACTCCATAAATCCTCTTCAACGTGAAGAGCGTGTATACTCTTATTCGCTGCGGACGTTGGGCGTGTCAGACAGTATATACAGGAGTGTCAAAGCCCTTCGCTGACCCTCCTGTTAACCATGCGACAATCAGTTGGTAGAAAACAAGTAATACGAACGAGCGAACAGTCATACCACTTGCTCGCTTCAACAACTGGTGGAGAACGGGTTTGGACACCGCGCCAAAATCATCCGCCTGACACGCCCAACCGTCCGCAGCGAACTACAGATGTACCTGTGCCACCTCGAATGTTATGGTGCCCTATGCCCTCTGCTCACCAGTTCTTGTTCGAACTGCAGTGTGACAGGCTGGGAGTTATTAGAGTGAAGTGGAGTTATAAGAGGAAAGAGCTGATGTCGTCGCATTACTAACAAACGAGAACTCGTCCAAGTACACCTTCGCTTTGCTGTAGGCTTGTGCGAACTCAATGGCTCCTATATAGGGCGTCTGGGAAGTTCTCTTTACTTTCCCCACTATTAAGAGCTAGAGCTACCACCTTGCCATTCTATCTGAGCCCCACTGCCCACCGTTTTTGGTCACGTTACCTGCGTTTAGTAAAGGAACACTTATCGTTAGAGCAGTCGAAAAAAACGAACGCCCACCAAAAAAAGACGCAGGCGATCAGTCCAGGGACCTCTATAGGGTTTCCCCCGTGTGACCATGCATTTAGGAATGAGAGAAAGGTTTTGCCTGTTGTCAGAAGTGTGTGGGAGCAAACTATCGACTACCAGTGCTTCTCGTCCCGCAGTCCATGAGTTCCTAAACCATATCGACTCTGATTGTGCATAAATCAACTCACTGGAGACCACTGGTTGTCCCCTGGCTTTCCTCTTCTCCCATTTTCCCTCCTGTAATAGGATGAAGTGCCGCACCGCATTGAAGGGAGAAGAAATTATGCACAACAGGGAGAAAGATTCCAATACGTGACGTACTCGAGCTGTTCAACTGTCGACTTGTCCCTGACAGTGAAAAGTGACATTCTTCATGGGCTTCTTGGCAAAAAATGTGAAATGAAATGTTGGATGGGGAGCCACAGCAAGGGGGGGGAGAGAGTCGTCGTTGTCCTAGGGAACAATATTTTCGTCGGTTGTTGACTTTTCTCGGTTTTTCCTGTACCCCACCGCCCCCCTCCCCGCTGGACGGTAGTTTTTCGAAGAAATTAGGGAGAAAAAACTGGATATCACTCCAGGAAAAATGTGAGGGGAGGGAGGTGGTGGGGAGGGGGGGGTGGTGGTCGCACCAGTGGAATAAATTTTGAGAGGGGGGGCGCCTTTTGAAAGAATTTTCCTCAACAGCAGGACCCTCCCTGCTGACAGCTTCACTACTACTCTGCCAAACTCGTTGTAGAGGGAAAATCGTTGAAGCTGTTTTCATGAACGTCCCCTTTCCGTGTCTCAAATCATGACAAGTAACCCGACTCCTCAGAGTGTGCGCTAATGTGCTCCTCTGCTAAAATAGCGCTCTATTGCCAGTCATATGTTTTCCAGCTTCTGCTTATTGGATGCATATTCTGAGATCATTCTGCATTATATCCTGTATTTCTTGACGTTTCCATCTTGTTTGGTATGCCGTGATAGAAATATTCAGAACAGCTAACATATATGTGTTTTTTGGTCTGAAAACTACGGATATATTTTGTTTTCTCTGACCATTTTAGGAGCTCATGAAATCGTCTTCGTCTCGTCCAACGAACGTGGGTATGACACCTCGACAGGATCCTCTAACGTTTGAAGTTGGTTCAGTTATTATCTGCTTTTTCTTCCTACATTCATATGTACTCCATAGCTGGAAGGTCAGCGTTAAATCGTATGGGTCCTTGTTGTTCTAAAGCATTCTCCCGATTGGCCATTCAGTGTTAGGAAGAGCAGCGAGGTCATACAAACCTTAGAAATATTGTTTTTTCGCTTTTGTTTGGCCAACGTTTTGCTAATACGAGCATATGTGCAATCAGGGTGCATCATCGTCGTGTGAAACACATGGGGGTTGTACTTTTCCGGGTCGTATTTAGTCGTTGTTTGGGAGAGGGGGCGTATGTGGTTTTTGAGAAACTTGCCGCTTTGGGAAATAATTTATCCCGCTTGTAGATTTTTCGTGATTTTTCCTGTTTTATGTGCGCTATAAACCTCCCCGCCCCCGCTCGACAGGAAGATTTTTGGGTGAAAATGTGGAAAATTGGTTAGTATTTTGGGGAACGGCGTACCGAGATCCTTCCTCGAGGGGAAGGTCATACTGAGACCTCCATTTCACACGTCACGATGCTGTACCCTGGGCGCAATAGTACTGTGAGGCCGCAATCGTCTACGCGCAAGTTTTTTTCTGCGAGCTCGCGGTACCTGAAAGTTAGCATAGACAAGATCAAATAAAATGAAAGCGAGCGAAAAGGGCACATGTAG